GTTAAAAGGGACACGTTTTTGAAAAGTGCGTGATGCACGAAGAAAATATTATTGTAAAAGTTACAAAAACATTTTTTATCTTGGACCGTAAAGAACTAGAAACTCCTATAAAATTCTGTAAACTTCTATAATCACAGAAATTATTATATTTAAGAAGGATCTTATAATCTCTTAGACTATCCTGAAATTATTATGTATTTGTTTGAAAGTATTATGTACATTTCACTTTTTACTACAAAATTATTGTGTTTGCTTGAACGTTTTTTTATATTGTATACTTAGTATGTCGTCAAATTTGTCAATATGTCAGTATAGACTAGTTATAGTGTCAATATGTCAGTATAATTCAATTTTATTTTTAAAAAACATTTTAAAATGAAGTGTAATTTAACACGTAACTTTTACTACAATATATTCTCCGTGTGCAATGAAAAAAATATTTATTCATCTTTTATAGTTTCATTCAACGTGTTAATTAAAAAAAGTATAAAATGCATCGTTTTAAATTTGAATAATTTTTATATGACATTACGAGGTATTTTGACTTCTTTGATATAGTTCTAGTATTAAAGAAGAATTTGATACGGCGCTTGTTGAAATCAAGAATAAAGATCAAATGCTGATAGATTGATAAATAGTGGAAATGATTAATTATTAAATAATTCTTGAATAAGTATTTCCTCAAGTCTCAACACGAAGAAAATAGTAGGAAGTTAGCATTCTTCAAGATGAGATCGCAGACTGTGCAGTCTTTTATTACAAGTATATTTGATGACCTGTTTTGATATTTGATCATATAATGAGGCAAATGAGAATAATACTTCAGGATTTTAACCATAATAATTTAAATAAAACTGGAAGTCTTTGCAATAATATTTTATGTGTGATATTTTATGTGTCGATGGACATGTATTGTCCCGAAATTTAAAAAGTGGGACAATTTCCCCAAAAGTCGTAACACTCCGAAATACGAATATCGTGATAAATTCTCGCAATGTTATTTTACCGAAATATTGAATGCATACAATTTTATTGAAAAGTTATAATAACAGAACTTTCTTTGTTATTATAAACAAAAACAAAATATTTGCTAATTATGGAAAATATATGCAATTACGTAAAACATTATTATTTTGATGCGGAACAGAAAATACGGAACAGAAATACGGAACAGAATGTCAAAAAATACATAGTTTGTGTCGCCATATTCCACAAAACATACAATATCCTTAAGACTAATATAAAAAGACAATTTTTATTATCATTATTTATTAATATATAAACATATAATACACACAGGCAACAATTTAAATTTAATATAACAATTTTATTCATGTAACTATTACGTTGGATGTCAGTTTTACTTCCCTACTGAGTCGCGGCATTCTTTTTTTTCATATAACTAATTTAAATTATATTGCATACTTTGAAATACATAGCTATAGAAATTCTGTACTTTCCGATATGCTCTTCTGTATTTATACCAGAATAACGTTTCATGCCATTGCATACATTTTCAATAATTCGGGATATTTGTGTTAGTATTTCGTTATTATAACTTTCCGGGAAAAAATTGTATGCTTCCAATATTTTTATAAAATTGCATTTTAGGAATTTGTCTTGACATTTGGATTTTGGTTTTATGATTTTTCAGAAGAATTATATGCTCTTATTGTTTTAGTAAAATATTTCTTTGAGACATTGTCTTGGTATTCGGATTTTAGTATTATATTTTTTCGGGAAACACTCCTCGTTTCGAAATTTTGAATTTTTGATTTCCCAGGACAAATGCATCTCATTCAAAAAATTTTCTAGATTTAAAATGTCATTCAGGCATGTTACACATGAAACGTATCTTGATCACTGATTTTATTATTTTAGTAATTACTTAATATTAATATAACCTCCTTTCCTCATATCTTTGTTAATTAACGAAATTATACTGTAATATTGCAATTTCCGTTCAGTCAGAAGTCTTTTACCTCAAAATCTTCCACTGATCGATTTTCGTATCAATGATTCCTTTAATAGTAGATTTTTTATGTCGCAAAGCATACTTAGAAGCAAACTAATTAATCTTTTTATGAAAACGTAATCTGCTTTTTATAAAAACGTAATCTGCTTTATTTTGCTTCGCTATATTGTTCCTTATATGAAAGCATATTTTTTTATTTCTTTTTGTACGAAGAAATTTTTTTTTTATACTTTATAACATGATTATTACTTGATTAAAAAATTTTTCTTTTGCATATAAGAAGGAAAATAATAATGCACTTTCAATTACAGAGACGATATAGAATACAGAAAGCAAATTATATTTACAGAAGACTTATTATTAGTTTATTCAACTGAATTTGTGCAGAATTAATGTTGGACATAAATTTCGATGTATCTCCCCCCCTTTCTCTCTCTCTCTCTTTCTCTTCATCGCGAATTCTTTCGAGAACTCCAAGTCAATTTTCTCCTGATGAATATTCCGTCGCAACTTTTTCGTTCCTTACGTAAGTTATTCGCTCTCGGCCTCTTAAAGGCATGGCTCTTGTTACGGATAATTTTACATTACGCTGTGGTAACGGAGAAGACATATTCCCGCGTACAAACGACGTAATGGATTTCGTGTTGAATCGGTCGGCTGGTCGGTGGATACGACCTCCCGACGTATCAGTTAAAGCCCCGAGTCGACCCTTAAATATCCGCGAACTCGCGATAAATCCAGCCATTGGAGCGTGGCCGACCGGATTATTTATCCCGAGATTATTTCCTCGTACAATTCCAACTTCCTGTCTAATCCTCCCACCTATCGCTAACCTCCCTCTCGCCGGCGGCGGAGTCACCGGTCCGAATCACGAGCCCCGGTGGTTTACGACAGTTCGCCGCTCGCGATCGCAAAAAGGCGGCATTACCCGGCGTCGCTCATGGGCTGCTTTTATTTCAGAAAAGTCGTCGAACAATTTCTCAACGGATTATACCGAGATTTGCTCTCCGCGAAGTTGGGTAATTCCTTTACAAGTTTGCACTGGAAGAAGAAGTTTTACCCGCCGCGCTATTCCCCCCTCCTCTCCCCCAGCGCCCTCCGTCTGCCTACGCTCGCCCTCGCGATTCCCACTTTTCCCTTTCTGTCTCTCGCGCCCCCGCGATGACAATGAAATAATTTGCTTCCGCTCCGGAGCGCCTCGTTGACGCGACGAAATTAGGAGTCCCGTTGTCGCGGATTTTCCAACCTGGATTAACGAGATATCGTTTGGCCGTTTGCGACAGTGACGTAGGCAAACTCAGAGTGTGTCGGTGTGCAGAGCTCTTCTGCGCGTCTCAGCCTCGAAGTAGCGGAAAGTTGATAAAAGCTGTCTGGCCTGATTTTGATTGCTCCACTGCAACGTATGACAATTTTCAATTGACTTCGTCTCGACCAGCAGCGTCAATTTTGACTATCCGGGAATATATCTGAATACTACCTGGTTATCTGGGTCCTTCGGATATCATCTAATATTCGAGTATGAGTGTTAATTCTTGATCTTAATTACTGATTTTTTTAACAGCAACAAATAACCAACAAGTAAATTTATAGACCTAGTTAAGTCCGGGGCTCTATATTTTAGGATTTCCAAGTTACAACTTCTCAGGCAACTAATTTTTGTGATCAACTGTATAAATATGATAGAGGCAACCTTCTTCTATGTATTAATGTCTGCCTGTTAACTGCATATTGCGTTTTGTAATAACCAAAATACGAACATACAGCAACGTAGCCATCTTTCCCTGATAACGGGTTCAGTTGCTTAACAGCGCGGAGTAAAGAAGGCTATGTATAAAATATGTATTCTGATTAGTTTCAGAGTCTCCGCAGCTCTCCTGCTGGCCTTTAATTATGTGAGCTTTATCTCATCTCCCCATATTTTATTTCAATCATTTTATGAACGAAAATTATATTATTATATTATTACATTTATTACCAGAAACAGAGTATATCATACACTTGCAAGAAATTTCATTTCAGCTAATAATACATCGTTTCATTTTATTCAGTCACGAGGGAAATTTACTTTGCTATTGCCAAATCAGCATTTTCTATTTTTAACTGTAATATTATTCCGATTTTAATGAAACTCAGGGAGAAATATTTTACAGGGAAGTATTTATGTTCTAAAAGAACCACTTCGCAATTTTGTACGTACTATTCCTCTCAAGATAAACTGGAAAAAGTATACACCTGGAGCCAAGTAACCTCGGTCATCTTTATACAGGATGACCCACACATTTTAATCGTATACTTCAGATATATCAGAAACAAGATATAGAGAAAATGTGTCAAACAAAAGTTTGAGAGTTCGGGGGAAAAAGATAATAACCTTGAATTTTTAAAAGTGGTTTTTAACAATTATTATCGTTTACTTAAACAGACAATGCATGCTTCGATTTTACAAATAAAAGTAGTTAACTTTCCAAATATGCAAAAGTGAAAATTTTCAAGGTCACTGGACTGGTCTGTTTCTTTTTATAAATATTTTAAAATGTATTAAGTTTTTGCCACGTGATCTGTAGATCATTCTATTGTATAGAATTTGACACTGTCGAGTTCAGAAAAATAAATAAAAAAACAATCCATTTAATCCTCATGGATTTTGAAAATTTCCATTCCGCAAGAGGCTCCACAAGAGGCCGTAAAGATTGATTAGGAAAGGATACGCTGTTGACATAGACATTCGATCTTTCTCCAATAGGAGTTAAACTAGATAAAGGTCGAATGTCTGTGGACAGCGGAAGGGGAATATGTGGCTGTGTCCTTCTTGTCTTTATATCTCTCATAAGAAGTTGCAATCTATTTAATTGCGATTCCAGTTTTCAGAGCGATACATTGTTTGCGCTTTCCGCTTCTTCTGAGAGGAAAGCAACTTTGAACGTTACCGCGACGCTCACTCGCTCGTTCGCTCGCTTGCCTCTCAATAAAAACGTATCGTTACACTTTGAGTCGCCGATCAACCATAGCGGTGTGCTTTTTGCAGGATAATAATGGATTACCGCGCCAGGTATCTCGTGTTTTTCGTACTTTGCCTGATATTGTCGGAGTACGAGGCGAACGATAAGTACCGAGCGACGACGCTCTCCAGAAAACGCCGTTACGTCGTTTTCCCGGAAGGTTCCTCTTTTTCCGTGAGTATATTATAGGATATTTCGGAATTAAACCATGTCAATATGATGGAAAAATTTAAGTAGCGGGCAATCAGAACAGAGGGAGACAGAGCTTAAAGGTCGTCGCACATAGTGGAGAGCGAGAGAATAGCCAAGCAACTTATGCCCAATTTCTTCATCTCCGGTTAACTTTATCTGTCGGTTAAATATCAACCATGATTGTTTAATTCTTGCCAACTATAAATATGATTGGTCAATTCCAATAGAATAACTGGCAGATAAAGTTAACCGGAGGTGAAGAAATTGGGCGTTAGAAAGAGAGAGTAGAGAGTGTTAAGAGAAATAGAAAGTAGCACGAAGAGATTGAGGTAGAAGTATAGCAGAAGAGGGTTATTTCTTAATAGCGTTTGGCACATTACTTCACTGAAGCCAGTACATAATACCATCAAAATTAAAAGGAAAATACTTCAGTGAAATTATTTATTACAAAAATATCAAAATATGAGCATTGGCCATCTTACCTAAATGTTTAAGACAAGATTAAGAAATAGATGATACATATATATTTTATATTCAAGATTTTGCACCTATTATTTTATAAAATAATGAAAAAAACATAATTTGACATATTCATTTTATTAGGTGGTAAACTTAGTTCCTGCGGTTTTTTTGTTTAAAAAACTCATTTATCTCGACATCAAAAGCAAAAAATACATTAATCGAAGTATTTTCCCTCGCTAGCTATACATTTTTCCCATCTTTCGGGCAACGCGTAGATTCCGCGACGATAGAACGATTGGTCTTTTGATGCAATCCATTCGTCGATCCATTTTTGCACATCCTCGTAATTT